GACACAAAAAACAAAAAAAAAAAAAAAAATTATAATTTTTTTGAGTAAAAAGGGGGGGGGGGGGGGGGGGAAATGGTATTGCGTTTCATCGCCAAAGAAACCTAAAAAGCTTTCTTTATTTCTAGAAGGATAATGTTGCCAGGAGAGTATACAGAAAAGTCAAATACATGAAAACTAATCATTTTGGTGTCAACTTAAGTTTCATCATTGGAAAATAAACTTTGTATTATTTAACTGAGATTATAAACAGATTTGAAACTGTGAGCTTTAATCGCTGAGTGCCATCTGTACTGTCCTGATCATATACAGAAAAACAGAACTAATGGGGCCAGATGCTGATATACTCGTATTGAACGGCATCTTACTTCACTGTTTTGTGTAAATGAGAGTCCTCTATCGTGAGGTGCTACCAGTGTATCTTTTAAAGAATATTATAGTCCTTATCACTCGAAGCAATTTTCTGTTCATGATACTTTGCAAACACTTGCTAGCTAAGCCCAGGAGTTTCCATGGGAGATTGCAATGGGACAGCACTACCTGCATGGGAAGAGAGAATTCAAGCGAAGGAACGTGCGGTGACCTTACATTGTGTCCCCAGCTAGGACCAGCGCATACTGCCCAAGGAATAAACCACAAGTCGTGACTCAGGTTCAGCATTTCTTATCTGTTTCCTATTGCTCTGAGGAGTCAGTCCATTTTCCACAGCCCCTAATTCACCATGTGTGCCTGACCAGCTGGTGTGCTAATGAGCTCAGATCCCCGCTTCTTGCTCTAGTCATTCCCATTTGCTTATCTCAGTAGCTCTGCCACTCTCAAGCCTCTTCCCGCTGGACTTCCATTGTACAAAAGGACCTGCTGTCACCTAGCAGTAAAGGAAGACAGGATGGCTCTGACCCTGTTAGAACAGTCTGTAACACCTCCCGGGGTAAGAGATGCACTAGCGACGCTACCTCATTAAGTAAGGCTAGGTGCAGAAAAGCCCAAGGCAAAATCAATCAAACCTATGTGGATTTCTCTAAGCTGCGTAGATTGGATCAGGAGCAAACAGAGCACATGTTCATTCTTCAGTGGGACACACACATGCACACCCCCCCCGAACTGGCTGAGGCCAGCAGGCAGGGGGCCTTTCTGCACACCTTCCATCATGGGCTCTGCCCCAGCCTCATCCCCCTGCCAGCAGCCAGCTGTCAGTCGCATTGGGGGGCTGCCCCACAGCTATGTTGGGGCCAGGGCCTCCCCGACTAGCTTGCTGACAGGGGCAGGCAGGGGCCAGGGCTGAGAACCACACAGAGCTGTCAGAGAAGCCAGGAAGCAGTGTGGGGGGAGCAGAGGAAGTCCACTGTGCCCCCCCCAGTGGGCTTGCTTGGGTCCGGCTTGGAGTGGGGACCTCCACTCTCCCCCACTCCCCCCCACTGCCCATTTTGGCTGGCAGCCACATATGGCCCTCAGTCCTGGCTCCTACCTAACCCCCATCAGCCAAGCTGCACAGTGCTGGGGTTACGACAGAAGGCCTCCTGCCATGCAGGACCGGACCCCCCCCCCCCCAAACCTGGGTTTTTTGGGGTTGGGGGGGCCCGGGGGGGGGGGGCCCCCCCCCCCCCCCAAGCTTGGCTTGTTTGGGCCGGGGGGGGCCGGGGGGGGGCCCGGGGGGGGGGGGCCCCCCCCCCCCCCCAAGCTTGGCTTGTTTGGGCCGGGGGGGGCCGGGGGGGGGCCCGGGGGGGGGGGGCCCCCCCCCCCCCCCAAGCTGTGCTTGCTTGGGTCTGGAGGGGCCAGGGCTGGGCCTGTGGGGAGGGGGCCTCCACTCTCCCTCCCCACCTTGGCTGACAGACCTCAAGTTGATGGAATTCAAGCAAGTTGCAGAGGCGATCAAAATATAATACTAACTATACCCGTACAACAATGGTACTTTTAACAAAGTATGTTTTGGAATACATTTAAGACGCTCTATGCCTAAGTAATATTTTTAAACAAGCTTCAATTTATCCAAAAGGAGGTGAAAAAAATATTATACCATCCTTACTGAGGACAAGTAGTATTTTGCTGCATCAGTGATCCAATTTTCTTTAATGGAACAACATATACAGTAACATGCAACTCAACTGGAATAAAGCTCCCATAATCTGGTTTTCAGATGGAATTGATTACTGGTTACATTAAGTTTTAATGATGAGGCCCAGTCAAAATCCTGCCTTAGAGTGTCCCCAAACTCTGGAAATGTTTGCCTTGAGACTTAGAAGCACACTTTGCAGCTTTTGCCCATCACAAGGTTTTAGTCTCAGTATGATTAAACACAAGGATATCAAATAAACACAAATGCCTTGTCTACAGGTAACAGAACTGTTAGCTTTTAAAAAAGGTAGATATGTCCGAAACTTTACAAGTACTACAACATATAGATACCTATTCCGAGGATAAAATATCAGTGTAACTAAATTAGTTTTCATGCCACTCATAATTTGAATTCAATCATGCCTATAGACCCTATCCAGGATTGGAATTCAATTATGACAAGAATCACGTTTCCTGCCCTGAAGATCTCAAGTCACAACAGGCAGCAAAGGAAGTGCTATTTTGCTATGTTAAACATAAAAAACTAAGGGGGAGGAGGTGAACAAGGAAAGAGACACAGAGAGTGAGACAGAGAGAGATGTGTCTTACCCAAGGGTGCACAGGAAGTCTGTGGCAGAGACCAGAGATGAGCAAAGAAGGGACCAGCATCTTTGCTAGCGAAGCACGCAGAGTGCAAAGAACCACATGGAATAATGGCTCTTCACTTCACAGATCTCCAGCGGAGGATCTGATTGTTTCCTATGCTAGGCTTTCTCCACTGAGTAACTCCTCACTGCAATCCTAACCAGGTATGCCTAGCAGGATAGCCATCATGCTGCTGCAGGTCCTTGGTACAAACAATTTTTGGTTGGGATATGCTGCAGCCAGACAGCAATAAAACTGCAGCCAGACAGCAATAATATCACCTATTTCTTGGCTAAATTATGGCCAGCTTGTGCTTCAGAAAGCACATCTATACTGCACAACACAGTCTTCCATAGAGATACCAGAGCTAGATCCTTGATAGCTAGCTGACATACTGCAAGCAGCAGAGCAGTGTTAATGAGGAGTTTTGCCTAGGTTTATATGCCCTGCTTATTAACGCTGTGCAGTCTAGGCAGACTCACAAAGGAACTGTTATATTACACTACTCTGCTTACTAGTTGTCTTCTTTCCCATGCTGCCACTATACAGGAGGGCTACCTGTTATTACTTGGCCAGTGAAAGTAGTCCATGTACCCATTTGCTCCTCCCTCTAGCTCCTGAAAAACATTTCTTTGTCAGTGATGCACAGAGCAGAAAGATTTCTCTAACCCAGTGGTTGTCAACTGGGAGTATACACACTCCCAGGGGCACTTGAAAAGGCCCTAAGGGGTTCATGCTGGTGGGAGGGGATGGAGCACTGCCACTCACCATCCCGTGCTGCTACACAGGCACTACCCGCCTGGCCAGATGTGGGGGGCGGGGGAAGTTTGCATGCGGCAGCTGCTGCTGGTCCACATACAATCACATGCCACCCTCCTCCCCCCCTGCCTTCCCCCCCGCTATGCCTCCAGCCACGCACCCATCCTTCCACTCCACGTCCAGCCGCCGGGGGTACACTGATCCAAAAAGGTTGAAAACCACTGCTCTAACTGGCAGAGCTCTGAGTATGCTGTGCTAAAGAATCCAAAATTATTTAATAAACTTCCTTCCCCTAATTTGGGAGATTAAACCCTTCCAAAACCTGAAGAAAATTACTTTTCACAGGAAAGGCATGAAATCGCTTACATTTTTAAATCTAGACTCTTTCAATATTTTTAAATATTTCAGTAATGTTACACTGCCATATACAATTTGAAGTGATTTAACACTCCTGAAGTATATCAGGCTTTTTTAATGTAATGAGTGTGTTAAATCCATATGATAATTATATAACATTCAACAGATAAATACACATAATTTAAAACAATAGAAGTTTCTCATTCCTCTCCTAGAAATGCAGAATAAAAAGGAAAATAAAGGGGCTCCAGTAGCCCCCCTTGCCATCAGCCCCCACTAATTCAGTTCCTTTCCCTTCTCCCTTACTGTCAGACCCCGCTCTCCCTAAGCACATGAAAATAAGGGGAAAATTTGAGAAAAGGGAAAATTTGACCTTGAAATTAACATACCTATACTAATTTGCATGGAGTACCCATAGACTTAGGTCAGCCAGAATTGATGCATTTTACATTTTTTTGAAACTGCAAAAAGTTTTATTACAGGTACTCCATAAATATGCTTTTATGCCAGTAGTGGACTGACGGCGGGGTTGTGGGGGGAGGGGCATGGCCCTCAGGTGCCAATCTGTGGGGGGGCATCAGCTGGGCCCTTCAGAGTTTTTAACATACGATGCGATTAAGTATGGGTGGGAGCGCAAACGCAAGCATTGGCCCCTGTGCGCCAGAGACCCATAGTACTTCACTGTTTTAGGCAGTGCTTTTGTACCTACTTATATATGGTACAAACTATGCATAACAGTCCAAAGCCAAAAGGCTCATGGATTTCCCATATCGTTCACTGGGCTGGGCCCCAGCAGTCAACAGCGTTTCAAGCTATGGTGACCCAACAGCTCAGTACTGTTCAGCAGGGAACCTGGTTTTCTCCATTTAAAAATTGCAAATTCTCCAATTTTAAAACAAATCACAAATTCTATGATTTAAAAAAATCACAAATTCTCTGCTAAAAAACCCAAAAATTTGCAATTAAAATGGAACACTACTATACATATAGGTATCAATTGAACACAAGGTTTTAT